CACTTAGGTTGGTTTCCCAACTTAGCTACTGTAACAAATGATGCAATAAATATAGGAATACAGATATCTCTTCAACATATCAATTTCATTCCTTTTGAATAGATACCCAGTAATAGGATTGCTAGATCATATAGCAGTTCTTTAACATATAAATTTTAAAGTCAGACTTTCTTTAATTGAATCTTGCCTATATCACTTATTTTATGATATTGGTCAAGTTATTAATTTTTTCTGACTCTGTTTCTTCACTTGCAAAAGAGGAAAATAATAAGATTGCAATGAACTTTAGCAGTGGCTGGCATATACCAAGTTTCTTTTAGATGAATGGTGTTATTTCTACCAGTCCTCTTCAGTTAAAGAGAAAACCTTGAAGTTAGTAGTCATTTATGTTGGTCCAAATAAGAATTTGGAATACCTAATTATTTTCATAGATTTACTAGGGAAGATCAATCTTTGGAGTCAAACATATCTGAGTTTGTCTTTTGGAGAATTTAGGTTTTCCACTATCATTTCATGTGTAAAATGGGCACAAGAATATACCCTAATTCACATATTTGTTCTGAAAATTAAATGAAATTATGTATGGGAAACTCTCAACAGAGAACTCACAAAGTGCTTAATAAGTGGTAGCTATTACTATTAATAATAATCAACTACATTGACTTGTAGGCTAGATATTTCTTCTTTCAGTTTCCTAAAGCTATCTGATTAAAAAAAGAGCTTAAAATGTAATAATCATTGCCTGATTAAAGTTTTTAAAAGCTAATTAGAATTGTGTCTTACAAAATAAGTTCTGATGATGTATCGTATTTTAAATAATTGAAATGTATGAACAATGTTATAATTTGCAAATAGGACTAGTTCTGTTGTAAAGTTCTTAGTGACAAAAATGTTTACAATATTCAAATAAAATACTATTTAGTCTATTGTTAAAGATATTTTGATGATCACTATGATAATGGATTGATAAAAATCTTAGAGGGTGCCATGATCCATTTCTCTTTCTTGTATTCCTATATAGCTTTGATGGATGTTTTCATTAATAGTCTTCAGCTCTAGGGAGATATTCTTCCAACCAAAACGTTCTTAAAGATGAAAGACCAAACATACTTGCTAAAATTTACTTGGAAGTTGGGAGAGAGAGGAGGGTAGAATATGAACAAGAAAAAAATCAGCTCAAAATGAGTTTTCTAATAATTGTGAGAGGCACTTGTGTAGAAAAACATTCCTAGAGATCTGATCATAAAGAGAAAGAATGAATCCAAGGTGATAATAATGCTCATTTGATTAATGGAAAGGACAACACTAAAATGGTTACAGGAAAAGTGCTTTTTATGTAGCTTGAAAAGGTAGAGAAATTGATACACAATCTCCTAACACCTCACTGACTAGGAATGTATTTTTCCCTGAGGCTCAAGAGCTTTAAAGCCACATGAAATATTTCATTGTCTTGTGATTCATAATGCTGGCACACCTTACATCACACTCAATTAAAGAACAGTGCCTGTTCCTACATACCATCCTCCCACAGAGAAACTGAAGAATAGGAAGGCAAGTGACATTGGCAGAAGTAAAATCTTTGCTCCTAAAGCAAACATTTGTTCATTTTTTGTTTGTTATCTCTGTACCTGTCTTTGAAGTTGCTGCTTCAAATATCACTGTGTGCTCGTATTCTTTTTTAATTTCTATCATTCGACAACAGTTTAGTTTTGGTTAGAATTAGGCAGATAGTACCCGAAGGTTCCTTCAACAGGCATTGGTTTTGATTATGGAAGGAATAAATCAGTATGCCAGAATGATTTAAGTTCATTATTTGCTTTCAGGCAGAATTAGTTCAAATCCAAGACTTGCTATTTATGTCAAGTCTCTAAGTCTCAGTTTCCTCATTTGTAAAATAGGTTTAATAATATTTACTGCATTTGACTGTTGAGCATTAGTTACATGTAAGCCACTCAACATAGTGTCTGGCATGTGCTAAAAGTATGTGAATTGTTTTTGAGCTTTTTATTAGCTAATGTTTGGAGAACTGCAGGACTTATAGGATGACATTTACTTAGTGGGAGGGGACCTCAAGCCTTTCTTGCTTCATAGAGTCTTTAAGCAATAACAATCTCATATGCATTTGATCTTACTTGCACACTTTGATATACCTTCATTAGTGTTTCTATGGTAGGGTAGAGACTATTATCTCAAAGAATAGGGTAACAAGAGCAGAAATGAGACTTCCGCTTCTGAGAAGACAGAGTAGGCATACGGGTACTTTTCCTTACATATTAAGTATAACTTAAAATTCTAGACATTATTTATAAAACAAACATAGACTCAGGCGAGGAAAACAGGCCAGCTTGGGATGGTGGGACTCGAGGAACGACACGGTAGTAAATTCCTCAGGTTTTCTTTTTGTTTTAAATATCTTAAATTGATTGCTAGAGAAGCCCATAACCCACAAGTTCCAATAGGCACAGACAGACCAAGAAGGCCTCTCAGAAAGACTGCTTTGTCTAGCCAGAAGTCTGGGAAAGGGGCAGTCTAGAAAGACAGAAAAGGGTAGCCCCTGAGACAACAACCAAATTACTCCAACCAAACATCACAGAAAAGTGGCTCCACCCCTACCCATACCAGAAAAGGGCAAGTGCAGAGCCTGGAATTCCACCCTCTCCCGGTTGAAAAGAAGCAACCCAACTCCCCCAGGCTGCACAGGGTAGGGTCGGAGGAGGCGGGGCAGCAGCGGGACGGGGACTTTCATTCCCTTAGGGCCTCAGCCGCTCCTGGCAGGGAAGGGGCGCCCCTCGCTTCCCCGGGGCCGTGGAACCGGAGGAGACCTTGTGGAGAGATCGGCCTCGCCCCACTGTCCGCTGTCACAAGCCTAGAAGTGGCGGCTGCTTTAAAATCTTTTCCATGTCATTCTAAACTCTCTGTCCTCCTGGAGTTGGCACTTAATGAGTGTCCTTTTTTTGAGATCTTCCTGTTCTCAGTATAAGTGACATTTTAAATTGAAATATGGACATTTGGATTTCAGGTTATGAGACTGTATCTGTGTGTTCTGGCTGGCTTCCTCTGAAACCACGCTAGCAGGAGAAAGTAGGTGGGGGTCCTTTCAGTGAGCAATCACAAACGTGCTCCAAACAAAAGCCCAGAAAGTCTAGGCAAAGAAAAGAAGAAATGAAGAAAAATCAAAGGGAAATTTAAAACAGAAAAAACAATTTAAAACAGAAAATTTTAAAACAAAAAAAAATCAAAGGGAAAATTTAAAGCAGAAAATAACTGCAAAAACTCATTCTCCAGCAGCAGAATGATGACAGAGATAAGAATCAGTGAACTGGAAGATAGAAAATAGAGATTACCCAATAAACAACAGAGGAAAATAGACTGAAAAAAAAAAATGAGCAGAGTCTCAGGAACCTACAGAATAAAAGCAAAAGATCTAACATTATGTCTTCCAAATTCAGGAAGGAGAACCTAAAGAAATAATAACTAAAAACTTCCCAAATTTAAAAATAAATGAATAAAATTGAACAATGTTGAATTTCCAAATCTATACATTCTAGAAACTGAGAAAATTCTAAACAGTATAAACCGAAAGAAATCCATGAGACATATAAACTTCCTGAAAATGGAAGACAAAAGACTTTGAAAGTAGCAAGAGAGAAATGACATACTACACACATTACCTTACACAAAGGGACAAACAAATGAAATAACAGTGGATTTCTCTCTCTCTCTTTTTTTTTTTTGAACAGGGATCAAACTCAGGACCTCGGGCTTGTGAGGCAGGTGCGGTGCCACTGAGCTAAATCCCCAGCCCAACAGTGGATTTCTCTTGTTAGAAATCATGGGAGGCAGAGGAATTGGTACAACAAAAGAACCACCAACTCAGAATCCAGCACAAATATCTTGCAGGAATGAAGGGACAGTAAAGGCATGCTCAGATGAATAACAGCAAAAGAATTTGTTGCCATGGGATTTACCCTAAAGTAGTGGTAATGGAAAAATCTTAAAATAGAAATAAAGTGATAAAGGATGTTTTGGAAACAACAGAAGAAACAATGCAAGAAGGACAACCAAAAATATGTTTAAATACAATGTATTTCCTTCCTCTTGTATGTTTGTTTGTTTGTTTGAGACAGGGTCCTCCTGTGCAGTTCAGACTGGCCCTGAACTCACTATGTAGCCCACCCAGGCTCACCTCAGACTCATGTCTGAGCAATCCTTCTGTCTCAGCCTCCCAAGTGCTGGAATTATAGGCATGTGCCTCCACACTTGGCTTTTCTTTTTCTTCTTGAGTTTCTAAATTAAATTTGATGGTTTAATAAAAGAAAATTACAACACCATCCAGTGTGGATTTAAATGAATACAGAGAAGGTGGGTATGGTGGCAAATGCTTCTAATCCCAGCACTCTGAGAGGATGAGGCTGGAGAATCACAAGTTCAAGCCCAGTCTGGGCAACTTAGTGAGACGTTGTCTCAAAGTGAAAAGTGAACAAGAGCTGAGGATGTAGCTCAAGGAAAAGGCCCTGTGTTTGATTTCCAGTACTGCAAAAAAAAAAAAAAATGAATATAGAAAACATATTTAAGATAATATAATAAAAACGAGATCCTTCTGCAGTTTATAAGCATGAATATTGGGTTCTCATGCTATTGTGTGAAATGTGCCTTTCTTTCACTCTTTTTAACACAACATCGGCACATTATCCATTGGGGTGAAAAAAAAAATGAAAGGAATAAACTTCTGCACTTCACTCAACTTGCTAAAATGATGACACCAGCCAACTTTGATAAGTTATATATATGTAATATAATACCTAGAGCAACTCATAAAAACAATAAAAACTGTGTTAATATTTACATTCAGATAAATAAAAATGGAATTCAAGTAATGTATGGGAAAAGAAAAAAGAGATAAATGAAAAACAGAGTTATTAAACAGGAAAAATATAAACTGGCATACTTATGCCCCCAAATAATAATTAGCTTAAACGTAAATGGTTTAAATATGTCAATTAAATGACAGAGATTGACAGAATAGATTGAAAAACGTGGCCCATATGTATGCTGTGTATAAGAAACTCACTTCAAATATGACATTGGCAATTTGAAAGTGAAAGAATGGAAAAAGATATAGCATACAGATTTTAGTGAAGAAAAAGCAGAAATAGCTACACTAACATTAGAGCAAAGGAAATTACCAGACACAGAGAAGATTATAAATGAAAAAAGTCAATGCACCAAAAGGATTTAGTAATACCAAATGTTTATGTACCAAAAAAGAGCTGCAACATATATGATGGGGAGAAAAAAAGAATTGGAACGAGATATAGGCAAGTCCACAATCAAATTTGAGAACACTATACTTTTCTCTCAATAGTGTTTACAACAAGGAGGTAGGAAATCAGCAAAGATATGAAGAACTAACAATGCTGTCAAACAACAAGGTCTAATCAACATTTATAAACACTCTGACAACACACTACTTATTCTTTTCAAGTGCCCATGGAATTTGATACACCAAGATAGATGGATATCAAGAAAAATGATAGACCATAAAACAAACCTGAACAAATTGAAATCATATGGAATATGTTCTCTGACCACACTGGAATTAAACTACAAATCAATAATAGAAAGATAACAGGAAAATTTCCAAACACTTAGAAACTAAACATTCTTTTTTAAAACAGGTTTCACAATGTAGTACAGGCTGGCCTTGAAATCACTATGTAGCCCAGGCTGGCCTCAAAATCGCAGTGATCCTACTGTCTCAGCTTCCCAAGTGCTGGGATTAGAGGTGTGTACCACTGTGCTTGGCTTAAACATTCTTCCAAGTAAACAAGTCATTGAAGAAGTCTAAAAGGAAACAAAAAATACATTGAACTGAGTGAAAATGGGGACACAACCTATTAAAAATTTTAGGACATAGCTAAAGCAGTGTTGAGAAGACATTTAAACATTAAATGCATATGTTATAAAGACAAAAAGTCTAAAATCCCTTACCTCAAGAGCCTAGAAAAAGAGCAACAGCAGACCAAAACAAGCAGAAGCAAGGAAATAATAAAGGAAAAGAGTATACATCAATTAAATTAAAAGCAGAAAAACAATAGTGAAAAATCAATGAACTAATAAAGACCTGAAGTCAATGAATCCTATAGCTAAAGTAGAAGAAAAAAGAGAAGGCACAAATGGCTACTATGTTAAGAATGTTAAATTAGCACCATGAATGAAATAGGAATAACACCACAGACTTTGAAGATGTAGGAAAAATAGGGAATAATAATAACTCTTGGGCTGGGGATTTATCTCAGTAGTTCTGGCACCTGCCTTGCAAGTGCAAGGTCCCCAGTTCAATCCCTGGTACCAAAAAAAAAATAAAATAAAATAACTCTGCACACATCAATTCAACAATTTAGATGAAAAAAAATCCTTGAAAACCAAACTATTACAATGTACCCAATAATTTTTAAAAAATGGTTTGAATAGATAATAGCTATTAAGAAAATTGAATTTGTAATTTTAAACTTCCCCGAATTAAATAGTTAGGCCTAGATGGTTTTACTGGAAAATTATATCCAGTGCTTAAAGAAGAATTAACACGAATTATACATAAACTAAAAATGAAAGTTGATAAATTAGACTTCATCAAAATTCAAAATGTATGCTGTGTGAAAGATCCATTAAGTGAATGAAAAGACAAGGTCTAATGTATATAGAGAATTCTCAAAACTCAGCAGTTTAAAAAATCCAGTTATAAACTGGGCGAAAGACATTTCACTGAAGACAATATATAGATAACAAATAAGCATATGAAAAGATGTTTAACATCATTAGCCATACTGCAAATTGAAACCACAATGATATAACACTCCACACCTACCAAGTATCTAAAATTCTTTCAAAGGAGCAAAACCACCAAATTTTGGTGAGGATAGAAAGTATGTCACCCTACATTGCTGGGAGGAATGTCAAATGGTGTATCTACTCTGGAAAACAGTTTGGCAGTTTTTTTTAAAAAATGACATAATGACAACCATTGCTCTTGTTGGTATTTGTCCCAGAGAAATGAAAATGTATATTTACATAAAAACCTATACACAAATGTTGATAGCAGTTTTATGTGTAAAAGCTCCAAACTGCAAACAACCCAGATGTCCTTCAGTGAGTGACTGGTCAAAAGCTATGGTGGGGCTGGGGATTTAGCTCAGTGGTTCCACTGCCTGCCTCGCAAGTGCAAGGTCCCAAGTTCGATCCCCGGTACCAAAAAAAAAAAAAAAAGCTATGGTACATCCCATGGAATACCCCTCAGCAACAAAAAGGAACCCTCAATACACCCAACAACCTGGATAAACCCCTAGAGGATTATGTTGAGTAAAAAGTACAGTAAATCCTACAAGAAAACAATATGATCCCATTATATAACATTCTTCAAATGACAAAATTATAGAAATGTAAATGTAGTGAATTCTCAAGAGCAAGATGGGGAGGAATGGGAGTAGAAGTATGTGGATGCAAAAAAGGGAAACAGAGATTCTTGTGGTGTTGGAATAATTCTATATCTTGGCTGTATTAATATCAGTATCCCGGCTGTGATATTTTACTATAACTTTACAAAATGTTACCATTGGAGGAAACACGGGATTTCTCTCTCTCTCTCTCTTTTTTACTATTGTGTATGAATATACAATTTTCTCAAAATGAAAAGTTTAATCAAAGAAAACAGAAGTCCTAAATTTTCTGTGGTTTTTTTTTTTTTTTTTGGTTCCGGGGATTGAAGGGATTGAACTTGGAGCCTTGCGTTTGCGTAGGAGGCGGCGAAACCAAGGAGCTAAACCCCCAGCCCCTAGAAGTCCTACATTTTAATCCTATCCAAGTGATTTATGGAGAGAGACGCCAAGTCACTCAGTCTCAATGTGCTTCTCATCCATACTGTGGAAGGATAATACCTGTTGTGTACACTGGAACTGGACACTAACAAGGAAAAAAGGCTTAAGAACCTGACACAGGGCTACGGACTTAGAAGCAAAGATGTCTAGGTCAGAGAGACGTTAGTAACTTTCTGTTTCATTAGTCCACATCTGTTTTTTTCTGGACCCTGCGGACCACAGGCAGGACGCCAGAAGAGTGATGGAAAGCGGGGTAGACTGCTTGGCGCGCCTCCTTTTCCCTCTGTCTTCCAATCCTATTTCCCTTCTCCCTCAGTCATGCGTTTGTCTGTTTTCCAGATTAGAATTCTAAGTGATTATGTAGAAGAAAAAATAGCGTTTAATGAAAGGATTTTCAAACTAACTCGTCTAGTCCCAATTTTTGATTTTATAGATCAAGTGATTAAGAACCAGAGAGATTTTGTGACCTGCTCAAGCCTTTGAGATGGTGGTGGAGCTGAGAACAGAACAAAATTACTGACCCTCAGGCTTGTGTGTGTGTGAATGTGTGTGTGTGCGTGTGTGTTTCACTGAATCAACTGAATCATAATATCTTGTGTTTTGAATGATTTCTCAACATTTTTGTTCAAAAATAGCTTCTTAAGCAGCTGGTAATTTGCCAAAGCAATATTTACTGTTGTCTAAAGGTATACCTTCATGCAGTCTTCCTTAAGCAGATAGGTAGAATTTGTAAACATGTTGGAAGTGGTGGTATCAAATATTGTTTCTAGGTGGATGAAATTTAGTGTTTTAAACATTGTTTAGGTACATACTGGGAAAAGCTTGTTGCTGCCACCTAGTGGTTTGAATGATAGCTATTAAAAGCTTTTACGCACAGGATATTTTAAATTCCTGCTTTGCGGTTGCAATTTTAATTATATATTAAATATCACAGCCAATTCCCTCAGCTATTTTATTTCTATAATACTTGAAGTGAAAAATTTTTTTAAGAATATTAAGAAAAATACTGAATTTGAGGCTTACTTCAGATGATTAAAAACTTTCTTTTCAATAGAACAAAAAGATAAATTATATTCAAACCCAAATTACTTCTTAATTACAATCAATTCTTTTTTTTTTTTTTTTGGTACTGGGGATCAAACTCAGGACCTTGCGCTTGCGAGGCAGACGGCAGAACCACTGAGCAAATCCTCAGCCCTACAACCAATTCTTAAATAAAAATAAACTCAGTACAGATCCATAGTTATTGTAAAATTAATAAGCTCAGTGGGTACTTAAAAGTAATAATGTATTCATTTAAAACTTTCTATGACCCAGATTTTTCTCTTTTTACTAAATCGTGTATTACTGTGTGTAAAAGAAATCTTGTGGCCATATTAAAGACTAATGGCATAAGAGCTGCAATTACAATTAAGTGCATAATTTAATCAGTAGGAGATCTTAACCATCTGTGTTTTTATTGAACACTGATTTTTTTCAATGAAAAGTTACACTGAACACATATGATCCTGGTCTTAACATCAAAGTAATTATTTGAGCAGGCCACACCCATCCCTACAACTATTGAATATTCAAAACACTTAATTACATCTATATTCTCACCTTATAACAATTTTCTTTCTCTTATTAGGGGGTCATGAAAGGAGTGAATCATAAAATAATTTGTTTGCTCAAGGTGTCATTAACTGTAGAAATTGCTGATCTTTTGGCTGGCTCACTTATCGAAGCTATTTTCAAAACAATTATAACAGTGATGATTAGATACTTAAGTACAAAAAACGACTTTATCAGTACATGTTTGTGATACATAATGTAAACATAATTCATAGTGGGGAGTTGGCACAAAAGGTATCTTGTAGGCAAGGAGAAAGGAATTGTTAACAAGCCTATAAAGGGAACCTGAATAAACCCAAGAATAACAGGTTATAAAAATGCCTACTGAGCAGAATGGGACCAGTGATAGAGAAGAGAAAAAGGTTTTAGGAAAAGAAGTGAAACAACACAACAGGCAAAAGGGAAAGAGGCTGAGGCAATGGCTGAGTGGACTGCAAAAGTTCAAATAACATGAGAAATTTGGAAAATAAATTTAAGTGTCTTTAAAAAACTTTCCACCTATGCAAATTATGCTTTCAGTTGTTTCATATTTATTGTAATAACTGAAGTATTAATAAAACAGTTATCCAAACCACCCCCCCAAATAGTTGAACACTGGAGATAAATGCCCTTAAAATTCTTTAGATTAATCTTGAAAACATGAGAGAAAAATAGTGGTTGAAGGAAAAGTATATGAGGCCTTTTATGTTGATTTTTTGGAAGTTACATAAAGTAGAAAGGGAACTGAGTCACATATTGTTCAGATCCTAGATTCATAGTTTATGACCTAGGATCACAAGTTCAGTTTCTTCCTCTGGAAATGATAGTCATACTGCCACTTACAATATTATGGTGGTTGTGAGAATTAATTCATGTAATGTTCGTAAGATGCTTATGTCATTGCTTGCCACATAGTAGGTGATCAAGAATGTTAATTTTTTGGTGACTCAACATACTAGACAATATTTAGTAAAACAGCCAGGGAATGCTTGAGAGTTCTTTCCCATGATGTCTAGCCTCTTTATTGCATAGATCTGCATTGGCACAAAAACTCAGAAGTTGCTTTTTAACAAGTTTCATATAAAATTAAATCCCGCAGAATCCTATTATACATAATAATCACAAGTAAATTTTGTGCCTACAAATACATTTTTTAAAATCTTGTAATAATTAAAAGGTAATGAAATGCAGTCGTTCCATTTTAATTTCAAGTTGCAATTTCTTAGTTGAAATTTTTTACTTTGGAGCCATCATGGAACATTTTAAAGAATAAGGGAGTAATAAATCTGTAAACTGCAAAAATAACTCTATTTTTATGATCAGTATCAACTAAATGTTAAATGCTGGTGATTTCTAAAGAGATTTTTACAGCAAGATTTGAGAAAATATTCTTGCTATTAACAATTACAAGATAAATAAATGAATACAGATGATAATTTTTAAGGGTTTTACTCAATACTCAGTATGACTTCTGGTGTTCTTTTTTTTCTGATTTTTAAAAATTAATTTTATTGGTACATTTTAGGTATACAATATAATGACATTCATCATTGGAAATTTGCACCTTTACATAACCTCTCTTGGTT